GCAAGGATGACTACAAAAGAAGATTGAAAGGAAAGCAATTTGGATGAAAAATTATCACATTTGCGGGTTCATCTGCACTGCAATGTTAGTGGTTTATATAATGAAAAATCAAGCACTCCTTCCTAAATGGTCCTTTCCTATGGTCCCACATTTTTGGGTTTAACCATAAATGCTGGTAGGATTTACAGGTGAAGTCTACAACTACGAAATGCGACACTGGTCTGGAGAACATGGGATGGCGGCTGCAAACTATTAACTCTCTGTCCCCTACCAAGTCTCCATCTTTCCCAGTGAGATAATGGGTTCAAGGAGATGGCTTTTTGTACCCCAGATTCAGAGCACCCCTTTACTTCAGCAGCTGCTCCCTGCAGGAAGCAATTATGTCATTTAGTAATACTAAAAGGTAGCAACTTTAAAAGCTGGTGCTTGGCTGGGTGTTTCTGCTGACTTGATCTTTGTTCAACAGCTTCTGCCAACATTCAGGGCTCAAGCAACGTTTTCAGTGTTCTGGGGGAACACCTGCCCTAAAAATGCAAAGTAAAACTAGCCAGCCCAAGTTAAAACACACAATTGTCCCAGGTGACTTAAAGTCGGCTTTCAGCTTTCTGAAAACCCAGTGATGGCATTTTCTGTGCCTGCACAAGCGCTGCTGGGAAGAGGCGTGCAAGATGCCAAACTCCAGGTCTGTCTGCTCCCACTAGTTGGGAGCTGGGAAGCCAGGCTTGTGTGGTGCACCAAGACCTCAGCAGACAGAGATCTGTGTCTGCTGCAAGCAGGGCATCAGCCTGCAGACAAAAGGAACTCCTTCTCGTCCATGAGGTCAATACAGACACCATTTTGCACCCCCACAATAAACATCTGTGCCGTATGGAGAAGGTGGGAGTAAGGCATGGTGGGGTGATGGCAAAGGAAAGAAAGGGAGTCACTCATTTGCAGCCATGTAATAATTATTTTTAAATTAATAGAGCTTTTGAAAATGTTATTAAGCCAACAAGGGAATAAAGTAAAAATCTGAATTGCTGATTTAAAAAAAAAAACCAAACCCACAACGTGCTCGTAATATAATGTTGATAGATAACCTAATTCAGTTCTAGCAGGTTTCTTTTAATAACTTTGATACTCAGTGTAATAACCACAGACTTAAAATAAGGGGGAAAAAAAAGGGAAAAAACCCTCACCCGTTCTAATCAACCCAGACTTGGACGCCTTGGGGTGCATTTCAATCGCTTCCATGCCCACGATGCCTGAGGCAATTCTCCGGCTTTATAGGCATAATAATGCTAATTATCATGAAGATAGATTTTGAACCCTCTGTCTAGGGCTCCTCGCCCTGGAATCAGACGGCATTCATGAGCAGCCTGGCCCCTGCCCGCCCGGGGTGCCGATGACCCGCGCAGCTCCGTCCGTCCCTCCGTCCCTCCGTCCGTCCCTCCCGCCAGCGGGCTGCCGGCGGCGCTCCGGGCTCACCTGGTGGTAAATCGCCTCCCAGTTCTCCCGCAGCGCTCCCCAGCTGCTCACGCTGGCCGCCTTCTTGTCCAGGTAGACCCTGATGTGCTCCTCCAGCTCCTGGTTGACCTGCTCGAGCGCTCGCACCTTCTCGATGTACTCCACCAGGCAGCCGTTCAGGCTTTCGTAGGAGAGACCCCTGCCCTTATCCAGCCCCGGGGCCAGGGGCACGGCGGCGGCGGAGCTGCGGAGGCCCTGCAGGAAGACGCTGCTGATGCCCAGGGCTCTACGGGACACTCGGGTGCCCAGGCTGCTCACGCCGCCGGTGGGGACGGTGCCCACGTACACGCCGGGGGGTCTCGACAGGCTCCCTCCGCCCCCGACGCTGACCCGGCGGCCCGGCGGCCCCGAGCTCTCCGCCGTGGACGTGGAGGGCTGCTGCCCCAGGAAGGACGAGCGGCGCCTCGGCAAGGGCATGGTGCCGCTCCAGCCTGCCGAGCACCGCCGCTCAGCCCGGCCGCCTGGCCCCGCACTGGCGGCAGCGATGTGCCGAGCCCAGCAGGTTGGGCTCGCCTGGGATTTCGGCTTTGTGCGACGGCTTTCTGGAAGGGGCGCTTTGTGCCGCCTGGGAGCGCCCGTCGCATTGTCCGGCGGCTGCTGGGTCAGCAGTCCCATTTCAGGGGAAATCTCCCTGCTGCTGCTGCTGCAAATGTGGCAGATGAAAAGCACAATGGTGTTTACGGGCACAGCGGGACGGGGATTCAGTACAATGTACGTGTTAAAATACCAGCAGTGTTTTCTGCGCTGACACCCGGATGATTTCCTACCCTTACAGCCACAAGGTATCCAGTTATATACTACAAATGCATCTGCTTCTCACACCAGTGCTTGCTCCAGACATAGCCTACAAGACATTTCCTAACTTAGCAAAACCAAGACCTCCGTGGAGTCACCTGAGCCACGGCTGAGCAGAGCCGAGCCAGCCTTTTGCCACTGCAGAGCATCGAAAGCTCCCTTGTGTCTGCTGCAGCTTCTGGGTTTCTCTGCAATTTGGCTTCACCACCCACCCAAAGGATATTGACACAATCCCAGCAGATTTTACAGGGACAAGCACCCTCACGTCCACCCCTTCTCAGTCAGTTTAACTTCACATAATCAATTGCACTTCGTCTGCTCAGCAAGGGCCTGTTTCACTTCTTGGCCTGTGTAACGTGGTGACACAGTGAGGCAACTGTGAATTAGAAGAAAAGGGCAAAACAATCCTAGAGACTTATTGCAGGGAAAGGGGGAGATTTCCCCTGCTCTTCTTTTTATGTCACTATTCTTTAGCTACTAGTGATCAGGTGGGTAGTGTATAGGTAATAATAAGTATTAAGTAGGATGTGTTCCTGGTACAGTGCAATTCTTCACAACACAATGTTAGGTCTGGCTTTTTCTACCTACACACAGGGAAACTTCACAGCCAGGATGCTGTTCCAGAGTAGGATCACTGTGTGCACATCTCTGTAGGCACGACTGTAATGTGCTGATGTTGGGCATTGCCCTAATGCTGTGTAGGTTTGTGCAGGGGCAGTGGTGAGTCTTTGGCGAGACAGGATAAATCAGAAATCCCTGTCTTCCACTGGTGCCTAATCCTGGCTTGACAGGTTAGTGGCTGGAGTTTGTTTCACTTGTTTTTTAAGTTGGAGAATTGCAAGGCTGCTTAAAGTCAGGTCACCATTTCCAGGTTGTGTGAAGACAGGGAACAGTGCAGCGTCTCTCAGCTTTGCAAATACTTTTTTCTAGTTTTGGTAGTCTGCCTTTAGATTACCAAACAAACTGTGCTGGTTGAATGGGAAGCATCCTCCAGTATTTCTTACACAGTATTTTCAATGTAGCTGCTCTGTGTCTAATTAGAAAACCTCCCTTTCAAAAGTAACACCATGTACAGAAAACAAATATAATAATATGGGGTCTTTTTTCAAACATCTAAATTTAGCTTTCTGTAACCTTGTTCCCTCTGTCCACCTCCCTCTTTAAATAAAAACACAGGTCCTTGCAGGATTGCTTTTGCTCTTGGCAATACCCCTAGGGAATTTTTACTCTTCTATCAAACAGTGGTTTCTAGGAGGCTGTTTAGCAATTGATCATGAGGATCACAGGTATCACATTGCATAGCATTTATCCCATGGTGAAAAGATCTATTCCCAAAGTGCCCATCCATGTCCATAGACAGCCTTGTCATCCTGCCTGCCTCATCACCTCATGAGAAAGCCCCGCATTGCTCTCCAATGCAGAGAGAAATACCCAGGGGAATTCCTGTAACATTACAATCTTCCTGTTTCTGGAAGCCTGTACTCCACATTCAGGTTTGTGCCTTGGCACAGGAGAAGTGCATGTGTGGGATGGGGAGAAAGGAGGAGCAATGAGGCCTCTGTGGTCCCTGAGCCAAGTCTGGGTCTGACTCCAGCCATCCTTTAGTGAAGCTGTCATGTTGCTCTGACCAACAGCAGCCCCTGGGACACTGTCAGCAAGTGGGCACAGCTGGACCAGATGTGCCACTGCTGTGAGTCTCTTTTCTAGCACCAGCTGTGGCTCATCTTGAACAAGGCATATGGTTAATGGTGCTACACTAACCCTGTCCTGCTGAAACTTCCCTTTCATGCAGCCAAGCATGAAACCTGAGCAGCCAGTGGCAGGGAGCAGCCAGGGGCTGAACTCTCCATCACAGCCTGCTCCTGATCAAGTGAGGAGTGAAAGCAGAACATTGTCCAGCGGGACTGGCGGCCAGAGGTGGGGAGAAGGAGGACAAGACTTAAAAGGACAGAAGCCATTTCACTTGCTGAATGATATAAAAAAGCAATTTGAGAAGCAAAACTGAGAATTGGTCTCACAATAAGAGTTCTGGGTTACTCAAAGAGAGACCATCAGTCTGGGCCAAGTCATTCCATGTTCCGTATTAATCTCGCCTTGCAGCAACCTATTTTTAATCCATTATTTAAGCTATGTTCACCCTTTCTATTCCCCTAACACTGAGTCTGCAATCTAGCACTTAACAGGGTAGGAAAGAATTGCCATTTTGCTCCAAAATGCTGTGTTTTCCTTCCTAAGGGGGAAAAGAAAGTCTCAGACAGGAGAAGAGGGTATGAGGAAACTTGATTCAGTGGCACCAGCAGTCTAAACACACAAGATAAATAAAACAGTGGGGAAGTGGAAATGTGGTCAAAGTCACAGCATTCAATTGGTGGTAGTCCCTGGTCACTAGATTGCAAGATTTTTGATAAATTGAAAGGAATTTTCTGTTCGTCTGAAGGGAGAACTTTACACGCCTTCTTTTGAGGCTGTTTGATCTTCAGGAAATAATTCTAGGTTTATTGGGCTGAAGTGTATCAGCTGTAAGTCCAATGTATTGTGTGGTTAAAACACTTATGCAAGAAAAAAGAGCCATTCTTGTCCTTGCTCATATAAAAGAGTTTTGGAGCTCAGACTGGAAGTGGGACAGCAAAGGGCTCACCCCAGCTGGTGCTCAGGCAGTACTGGAGTCACAGAAAGGATACAGTCCACTTGACAGATGCTTTGCTTAGAAATACCTTTATTTTATAAAGCCACAGTTTGTTCTGTAAAGTTTTACCACACTTATAAAAAAGGGTCTGACAATTCTGAGGGACAAAAGAAAAGCTGAAAACATTTCTTGTAGTTCAGGGTTACACAAAGGTTATATTTATAATATATATATATATTTATTTATAATTTGGAGACGGTAGAGATGAAACTGCAGGCCAGGGGCAGCTGAGGGGTCATATTTCAGAGACTTGCTCGTGTCCCACGAACAGCGTTTCCTGGCAGAAGGGGTTCACCAGGACCATCCCGCTGTCCCGGTAGTCGCCGTTGGCCGGGGAGCGCGGCTCCGACAGGTGGTCCTGGGGAAAAACAAAGAGGCACATTGAGCACTTCAGCCTCCACAGGCACTCAGGGCATTCCTCCCAGTCCCCCAAAGGTGCCTGAATGTGGTGGGCTGTGACTCTGGAGAGCTGGGTTTGGTGAGCTGGCTTTTCCCTTTGTCAGGCAGGAGGAGCTGTGAGTGAAAGGTTCCTCTGAGGATCTGCTGATTCTTTCTGGGGACCCAGAAGTCAGCTGCACCAAACTTCCAATCCCTTTGGAACTTTCACATTTTTTTAATTTCTTTATTTTTTTTCCCACTTTATTGACTCATTCCAAGTGTTTCCTGTCTCTCAGCTGGGCTTGACTCCTCAAAGGTGCATTTTCAACTTATTTTTTAAGGTTAGAAAGCCACACATAGGGGTCCAAGCCACCCAAGCATGCACCAGTTCAGTCATATTCTGATCAGGTTTAAATGACTCAGCTTTTGAAGACCACCCTGTATGTGAACAGGCCTGACATTTGATTCTGGGCAAGCCAGACCAGGTCCTGCCTTAGCTTGAGCAACATGATTGCCAGCAGGGTGAGGTTAATGACGTGACTGTGACTGTCTAATCACATCTCAGAGGCTCCTTTCTAAACTTTTTTTTTTTTAAATTTAGTTACATGAGTCAGTCAGCTAGCTGATCTGAAAATCATTTTTGTATAAACTCAGACTCTCCACTGTTTCTAGGTTTTAATTATCTTTGACATGAACTGAATTATTCTCTGTCTCTGAGGCCAGGGAATAGATTTCTGTCAGTAGGATCACCTGCTCATGTGTGAATAATCCCACCAAACCAGTCAGACCCCTTAAGTAAAGACTGAGTGCACACCACACCACCATATCCCCCCCATACTGATGTTCTGATTACTTCTGTAGTGGGAACACTCATTCCCTGAACTGGTATTTGAGAAGGTACAGGCAGCTTCTGAGACATAAATGTACACAATTTCTTTGTTTTACTAACTCCCACCAGCCTCCTTTCTTTTATGCTGAGACTGACTGTCAGTAATGAGCCACGAGAGCCAAAGGGCTCTCCTTAAGCCACCATGGCATGGCTTGACATTGGCTGTAGGTTCACAAGGAAGAGAAACCCAGGAACAAATTCACCAAGAAGTGGTTAACACCCATCACCACGCAGCAATTTGGAACACATCTGCAGTGGCTGGGAATAGGATGGCAATCCAGTTTTGCTGAGAGGTTTATCCCATCTAATACATGTGTAGGAGGGTGTCCTTCCCTGAAAGCTGTTCCCCTGAACGTGCGTAGGGATTTCAAGGCTTTATTAATATGACTTCCTCTCCCCTCTTCCCTGCATGGCTTCAGTTCCAGTTTTCAGACACCAGCTCTGCAAGTGAGGTACCTCTGAAGTCTCCAGTGACTGGATCTCTCTTGGTAACTCTACAGCATGCCTGTTGAAGTAGTCCATGGTAATAGCATTATTCCAATAGCTCAGGTTGTTCTCTGGGTTAGATGTCTTCTTCTTCCTTCTCATGCAGCAGACTGTCAGCAGAACTGCTGTTAATAGAAACATGCCAAAAATCTGGTTATTTCCTTGCAATAAGGACTCATCAGTACCATGGATTTGTACTTTATGTTACCTAAGGAGAGGGCTGGTGACCTGCATTCATATGCTTCAGTCTCAGTCAGTCCCAGCTCTCTGCTAGCAAACCCTACACAATTATGTCAGAATCTGGGCCAGGCAGATGAGGCTTTGGGCTTGGCAGAATATGCAGTTTTTGCTTTCTTATTGATGTGAGTGTATAGTCTTCAAGATGTGGCTGCCTGATTAATGAAAAGCTTTGTTGTTGTAACTGATGGCAATTCAATACCCAAGAAGGAATTTATAGGCCCTCTAGGAGAGAGGGCATTCCTCAGGGACTAAGATGCTTCTGTGGGGATCTTTTCTGCATCTGGTGTGTTCAGAGGCTGCAGAGATGAGCACATTGGCAAGTGGGCAGTGAGAGATACCTGTCCTATTTCAAACAGCAAATTCATAAATGCCACAGCTTCAACACCAAAAGCTTCTGTCCTGAAGTGCCACTGATCCCTGCCTCTGTTGCCTGCCATTTGTAACTTGGATTTTGGTTTGTGACCATGTTCCAACACATCAGCAACCAGCCAGAGGAACAGATGGGCTCCTGAGTAGGATGAGAGAGGGGTAAGGTGGTGTGGAGATCCCCTGTGGCACCGGTCTCAAACACCTTACCCTTCCAGGATAGTGTTCATGCCAGAGCTGGGGTTTTCCTGCCTGTCTCCAGCAGCTGTGGAATCTACTGATAAGGGTAACCTGTTCCCCTACACTTGCCTGGGCATTGGGTGATGTCTGAGAGTGTTATTTTTTCCTTGCCTTCAGAACTCACTTAAGCTTTTACAATCTGAAATATCCAAACTTAAAGCAGAGCAGCTAGGCAAGACAAATTGACCAGCAAGTGAAACTACTCATGTTCAGGAGGAGTCTGTCTGGTCCCAGGGCCACAGGAATTCCCAGGCCCCAAAAATGCCCAGGTAATTCTCTCCCAGCAGGCAGCTGAACACAAAGCTGGCTGAGTGTTATTTTCTGGAATTGCTTTCAGTTTATCCATTTCTGTTGCCATTCAGATGGGTAATCTTGGCTACTTTAGGAGAGACAGGCAAAGCCACAGCAGGAGACTTACTGCTCCCACCAGCCCAGGCTCAGGCATGTGCTGGGGTGTGTGCAAGGGTTCGCTCAGAGCTGTGATGTGTGAGCTCTGTCTGCTCCCCTTACACCTGTGGAATTCATCAACATGTACATGTACTTGCTTTGATTTGTACCTGTGAAATAGGAAATGCTCTGCTGTAAATTCCCTCTATCATTTCTAAATCCCTCATGGTAGAAGAGGAGAGAGAAAATATTCATGAAGCAGAAAAATATATTATTTCCTCAGCTACAGGTATAATTATGTATTAGAATGATAACTCAGAGGAAAGAACAGACTGCAGAGAGATCATTGCTGCTATGTGTTTTAACAAACATTGCAGCTACCCATGTGCCATGGATCTCAGTCCTTATCCCATCTACCACAGAAAAATGGCAACACAAAAGTGCAAGGCTAGAGCTCTATTAAAAAAAAAATAGAGAATAAACTACTAAGAATAATAATAAAAAAAATTTAAAAATCAATGAAAAAAAAAAAAAAAAAAGGGAATAAACTACTAAGAATAATAATAAAAAAAATTTAAAAATCAATGTCTTTCAGTTCAGGCAGTTCTGTCACTAACAACTTCATTTACTGACAGCCCAATAGTCTAAATCCTGCTGCTGCACCTCATGGTGGGGGTGCAGAACCCCCTCAGAACTGCTCTCCCTGCCTGGGGAAATGCCTCTCCTCCTGAAGGGCTGCACCTTTTATCCCTACTTTGGCTGCTGCCCTCTCCATGTCCCAGCCCAGCCTGCAGGCTTGGGCAGATTAGAAAGTGATGCAGGACCTGCATTTAGCCCTCACCACTGCTGGTGAGAGCAAACAGTCCGTGGAGCTTTTCAGTATCCAGCAACAAGAGATCCATCCCTAAGGCACAGAGCATTTCTGAAGGTGCCTGAGGATGTGAGAGCCCCAGTAAAGTCAACTCTGTGCAAAGTTTTTTTTGAAAGCCTGAGGTTTTACAGCTTATAAAATATTGTGGTTGCTGACAGAGAAGTATCAGATTTGGGGTTTAGGGGCTGGAAAGCCAGTGACACTGAGTTGAGAGAGATCCCAGCTTCTTCCAGCAGGAAATGGCCTTGCCATGTGTAGATACATACAGCAAAAATTCTCCCTCTCTTAATTACACTCTTGGCCTCCAACTGTGGTGCACACACAAGAAAATGGATGGAAGAGCATGGAAAATGGGTTCCTGAGCTTCCACAAATATGTATTTCAGCAGAAGGATGTCTACCTAAGCTGCCCCAATTCAAAGCAGAAGAGACCTCATTTGAGAGGGTGAGTGAGGACAGCAGGGCTGGAATGGAGCTGGTCCCTCTTCATCTTATATTAACTGCCCTTTTCACAGAATCATAAGCTGGAAAAGACCTTAAGGAAAGTTGAGTCCAACCATTAACTTAACACTGCCAGATCCACCACTAAGTGACAGCACTAAGTGCCACATCTACCACTAACATGCCATATTTGGGGCATATTTTAGTGAAATTAATGTAGCCAACACAGGACCTCCCGCTTCCAGAACACTAGGGTACAGCTTTTATATTCCTAGATATCCTTTTGTTCCCGTAATTAGAATTACATGTATTACAGAAAAACTCTTCCAGACAGACAACTCTGATGTCCAGGGAGGCCATATCAGGCGGATGAAATACACAGAGGGCAGAGATGATTTGGAAGGCACAAATGGCAGAAATGACAACAACAGAGCTGAAGAGAGAATTAGCAGCTGCACCACCCTGTTCATCGATCCTGGTATATTGTGTGGTTAACTCTTCCCTGGTTTTCAAACAATCCTCTGGTTGCTTTCTGTGAGTCAGAAAATCTCAGCTAACTTCCCTTTGCCTGCTCAGTGTTCAAGTCGACAGTGAGTGCCACGAGGAGGACATGTCAGTGTTGTCCCTGTGTCAGCCTGAAGTCCCTTGTACAGAGACTGTGACAATGTTAGGAATTATCAGGGGTCTCCGGAAGTTCAGAGATTCTGGAAGCATTTCTAACACATGTCTTTTCACATGTTAAGGGGCTGAGCTGCTGAGGAGTTCCAGCTCTGACACTGGACATTCTTTGGCATAGGGCAAGTTACATCTGCATTATCTGCCCCTCCACCTGTGACATAAAACATCCCACGAATGGGAGAAACAAGATTCTCACAGATTTACAAGTTTCTGGGCTGGTGGGAAGATGTCCATCACCTAGTGTCACCCATCTAGCACCTGCACACCAGGAGACTTTCACCTGTTACCTTTAACATAACCTGTATTTAAGATATAGCACATCTCATAGGAAAACACTCAGCTTTATTTAAGGATACGGAGTGACCAGATGTCCATCCCATTCCCACAAATTTTGTTTCAATGTTTAATTTCCATTGTAGGGACATGCTTACATTACTCTTGTATAAGTACTTTCACCTTCAACCATTACTTCCTCCACGTTGTTTTGCCTTTTTTATTAAAAACTTCCACTATGCTGTCAGAAATCTCTCCTATATATGTAAGCTTCAGCCTCTTTTTGTGCTACATCATGGCACAAGTGGAACTTGTTGCATTTCTCCACTCCTGAGTAATTCCATGTCTCTTTTCTAATCTCTAGGTTTTTTTTTTTTTTCAAATATAACCCACTATGATTATTTACCACATCCAATCCAGCTTCATTAATGCAGTGTAACGAGATCATACCAATTCCCTACAGTTTTCTGACAGTCTTTCCCTTCAACTCACTAAAATATTTTACCAGTCTTACACAGCTGCATGCTCCCTTCCCCCACTTTCCAGCCCCCACACAAAACACAGTGTTAACAGACCTGAAATTGTAAGCACTTAAAAATCATGCAATATTCAGGGCGAAGGATCTTCATTTACTTCTTCCTATGCCTGCAGATCACAACATAAACTAAGTTTAAAGAACACTTCTCTTAATGACTAAAAATGCTTTTTATTTATTTTTTTCTATTTCCCTGGTTTCCTATATGTAGCAGCACATACTTGGCTGTGATAAAGGTATCAGGATGGATTTGGTTATTGACTGCATCTGGAGACAGGAGTCACTCCAGCTCAGCCTGAGTTCACACCTGGGGATCAGGCTCAGACCTTGGGATCTCTCTCACTTCAGACTGGAAAGCAGGCACAGGTTTTGTGATGGAGAAGGTGAGTGAGGTAATTTTGGAAAGCATTCCAGTGCATGAAATGTGAGCTAAGCGAGGTTGGGCCCAAGGCAATTCTTCACATATTCTCTGAGTTCTGCTGATGCCTGTGCTGAGAGGCTCAGCCTTCCTCTCATGTTCTCCTGTGTCAGCAGAACTGACTGGATAAATTGACTCCTGTGCATCTGATTTGCAAGTTCCTGTTCTCCCACATTTTATTGTGTCATCCTGTAGTTCCAGTGACGCAAGAACCAGGAGCCCAAGGACTGGAACAGTGAGTTTTAAAATGAGCTCATATTGTTCTTGTTCTGCATTGCAGAGAGAGGCACCTACACATGTACAACAGAACGTGCACAAAAATGTTCAAGGCTGCCTGAAGGACACTGCAAACCCAGCTCAAACTGTGGCATGAAGAAAATAATGACATCACTGTTGTATATGATTTTGCTTTTCTGGGAAAGGGAATGATACAGAATCCTTCGTTTTTGCAGCCCTCCCATGGAATTAGCAACATTACTGTCATTATTTATTCCATGAAACTGAGCTGCCAAAAGGTGAAAAGATTTCCCTAGGTTCATGCAGCAGACATGGCTTGTGCATTCCTACTCAAAGCATCATTCTTCTAGCTAGCAGTTTCAGGGATTTCAGTGGGACTCAGAAATCTGTGCATCTGTACAGAAGTATTAATTGTAAGGGTGGGAGGCTAAATCCCAGCTCTTTTTTAAGCAGGGGAGTTCTTGAGGCACAGATCTCCAGGCGTGTGTTCCAGCCCCTCAGCTGTGCCACAGCACAGCTGGAGGGACCTGCCAGTCCCCAGTGGGGCTCAGATGTCAGGGCACAGTGCTGCTGAACAAACACTCTGCTGCTTCCTGCCCTTTGGTGCAAATCCCCACAGCAGGGATGGGCCAGCAAGGAAACCCCAGCAGGGTCTGTCCTCTGTGAGGGGAAGTGCTGCATCCCAAGCACTTCCTCCAGTGGGGCTGAGGAGCCAAAGGCTCCTGTGGTTGCTCTCTAGCAAGTCACTTCCCCTGCTATAGAAGCTCAAATGCCCAGAGGTTTTCATGTATCAGGTGCCTGTCACTAGATGTGTGACAGCAAGCAGTGACAGCAAGCAGTGTGTTGGGGTCAGAGAGGGACAGAGACATCTTTGCAGTATCGTGATATGTTTTCCCTTCCAAGGACTTTTGGGTAGCACAAGCTGTGCCCAGAAGCCCTCCAAAGAAAGCTTTTCCAGCCTCCTTGTAACTCCTCACACAGAGGAGAGATTATATGGGAAGACACAAGGGCTTCTGGCAGAGGAGAGATGCTCTGGTTGCTGCACATCTCTTCAAAGGCTCTGGGAAACAGGAGGTCAGCGAGCTGGCTCGGCTCCGGGCACCCCTCATTAGCAGGACAAGGGAGCTGAGTTAATTGGATTCCTGCAGCTCTGCACCCTCATGCACAGGCTCGGGGTTGCCTCTCCTCACCTCTTTCCCTGTTTTTCCAGGGTGTGTGGCTAACTTCCCTGCCTTGAGGCTGTCTCTCTGCCTGGTGCTGAAGGTGCCAGCCTGAGCGCAGAGCCACCAGCCCACAGCTGTAAGGGGTCCTCAGTGACTTCCCCTGCGGCTTGATCTCTCCTAAGGCAGCTCAGCTATTTCACAGCACAGGATTGTGCCTCTATAGCCTTTCAGCATCCCAAGGCGGGAGCACGACATTATTTTTTTTCTCAATCCTACAACAACCCAGCGAGCCTCTCTTGGAAAACTTCTTCGCTGTTTGAAGATGAAATGAACCCCAAATATCTGCTCCTCATCCTTCTCCCGGCATCAGCCCGCCGTATGCCAGAGGAGAGGAGCGTGTGCCAGCGCGGGCCGGCTGTCCCCGCCTGTGCCCGGGAGGTGGCGACAGTCCCCTTCGCGCCGCGCTCACAGCACAGCGTCCCTCCGGCGTGCGGCGCGCTTTAGACAGCCAGACGTCGGGATGGAATCGATTTCCTAGATCTAAAGCCAGATCACCCCCAAAAATACCATTTAAATGCCTGCCTGCCGTTCGTTTCAGCTCTGAAATACATCCCAGGATCCCCGGATTTTAAAAGGGGAGTCCCAATGAAGGCCATCCTCAGGAATCTGGTCTTGAGAGCAGGACTTAAATACCTGAATTATTTAAGCACTCAGTTGTATTAGAGCTCACTCAGTTGTATTAGAGCTGATACAGATAACTTTCAAAACAGCATTTAACTTTTTTTGTTTTAATGTAGCTTATGAATAAGGCAGTCACATGAACACATGGCACGAATGAAAACAAGAAAAGTGCTAACACCTCTATTTAAAGAACAGTGGGTTAGCACTCCTGCTATCAGACTTCTCATTATTACTATTGTTATTGTTACTGTTATTCAGCTCATATATGGCACTCTGCACACACAGACCAGTTTACCCACTGGCTATACATGCTTGTGTTTTATGGTTTTACACTTCTTATTTTGTATTTAGATGTTTTCTATCCAGCTCAGCTTTTTTTCTGGATATTGGCCCAAAACATAATTCTTGGAAGAATTTATTTGATCCTTTAGTTCTACTGATGGACAGACAAGGCATAGTTCATCAAATCATCAAATATTGATGCTTCCAACCACATGATTGCTAAGTGCCAGTTTCTCCTCCCCATCTTGCCCAGAAATGTACGTACAAATTCTGCTTTGCTTTCTCTTTGATTGCCCATCTTTTAGCCTTTAAGCTTTGTTCTCACTTGTGGTTTTAACCACGTTGGCAGTAGCAGAATTGATGGTCCCAGAGGTGTGACTCTAACAAATATGCTGACCCAATCCAATAATTTGCAGCTGCTGAAAGGATTAGTATGGTCCCCTCATTAGTATGGCTGCACTCCTGCACCCTCATCCTTTCTGGGTCTCATGCTCATCTGACTCTGTGGGGAGCTGATTTAGCTCACTGGGTGAACAGAAAGTACCAATGAGCAAAGTGAATATTTTTTGGCCACTTTAACAATCTGAAAGTGTCTTGGGGAGGTGAAAAGTCAGGCCCAGGCAGAAGAAGAGGGGCAGGATCAGGTGCCTGCACATCAGAAAGAGCAGGAGAGAGCAGCACTGTCCTGTTTGGCTGGAGTAAGCTGTGTGTGAGACTGGCTCAGGTAGGTCATCTAGCCTTGTCCTCAGTACAGCTCACAGCTGTACATTACAGCATTAATACTCAGTGTTGTTGGCTACTACCCCTTCACATATCCTCAGGCAGCAAAGGCTGGGAAAAGTTTGGTTTTGTTTCACGCCAGACAGTTCAGAATAATCACACCCCATGACAGCGAGAATATATTGTCCCACCAAGCTGATACAACCCAGCTAGGCACAGGACATCCTGGCAAGCACTCATAAGCTTGCTCATAATTTCCCATGTGTTTTTTGTAATTGAATCAAACAACAAGACCCTGAGCCAGCTCTGGAAACCCAACCTGCCCTGGTCCTGCAGGTGGCTGACTCCAGGTGTCTGAAGGCCAAGGTTTCTTTCTCTTCCCTTGGCAACTGTAAATTGGAATTAAAATTGAGGAAACCAGTACTTTGGTTATCAGATTTTAAAATCAGATAGCTCATGCACTACCTGCAATAAAATATTTTATTGCACTGGAAAACAGGTGTTTCCTGAATAATTAATCATTACAGATGTTATTAATCCTTTGGGTTAGCAGTGGGCTTTCTAACTCCAATTTCAGGGCAGCAAATACTAGTTCCTAGATAAAAGAATTGCTGTCTAAAAGAATCACTGTCTTTGATCAAGTTTTTGATCATTGTCTTAAACACTTTGGAGTAAAGCTGCCTTATATTCTAGAGTTGTTCAGGCTAGTGTTACACCCTCAAGTGGAGAGTTACCCCATAAGATTTTTAATGGCAATAGAGTGAGGATGCTTTGAATGTAACATTTTAGTCCTGCATTTTGAAGTTGAACACTTTGGTGAGTGAATGTGATGCCTGTACATCTCATCCATGCCAAGCTGACCTGCTTCTGTTATGTATCCAGCTAGTCCTTGAATTGTGGGCCGAAATCTGAATATTAAGGAAAGAGAAAGCAAAATAAAGTGCCAATTAACTTACAACATGAGGATATAGGGACGCTGATAGCCAGAATGATCCAGGCAATGTCCATCTTGCTGAGACAGATGGTTGCTCTGTGCTGGGGTTTGTCGCCCTCGGTGACATGGGAGATGTTTCCTTGCACACCTGGTTTCCAGGTCCCGGCAGGAACCAGTCTGTTCAGGAAGTTCCCGGTGGCGGTGGAGCCAGCTGTGGAGGTGGGGCTGGACAACCTGGTGGCAGGCACTGAGGAGAGAGCACTGCCTGGTGACGTGGAATTGGTCACCGTGCCGTGCTGCGTCGGAGTCAGTCCCTCGGCGTCTCCCGCTGCCGAGGATGAGATGCTGATGTCAAAACTGGTCTGAACCGAGTGACCAGCTGCTGCTGTAGCAGATCCAGAGCCAGCAAACACAGGGACATTTGTACTGAGATTCAAGGTTACCCAAGAGTTGTTTTTGCTCAGCATATCCCACATGCCATAGTGGGTGGGTTTAAAAGGCACCGACACTGCTTCAGGATCAGTTGATGGTCCAGCAGTTGTGGTGGCAAAATCTGCCTCCTGCACTGCTACCTCGGTCCCATCCCCTTGCTCTGCTTCCCTAAGGCTTCCCGAGGAGTTGCGGTGGGGAGAAGGGTCTGAGTGTGTAGTTCTTGCCAGCCCCATTCCATTTGGATCGCTGGATGCTGTGGTCTGGGACTGAAACGGGTGATCTGTGAAAGGGCTCCTCAGGGTAGGGAAGGGAGAGTGCAGGGTTGTCTTTAGGTAAGGCTCTGTCGACTCTGAGAAGTTGCCTTTGAAAACCTGGAATATTTTCCCCTTGGGGCGAGACTGTCCTGAGTACAAAGCACTCTGGTTGTACAAATGGTAAGTTTCCTTCTCACCGATGCGAGGGCCACTCTCTCGCTCCTGCCCGGTGGAAGGGCCTTTCTCCACCAGGCTGATGGGGTGGGACATGGCTTGAGCAGACGTGGGAAGGGGCTCTGCTGTGGGGTGGTCTTTGTGGTGAGGTGTTGTTCCCATGGCTGTGACAGTTGTAGTGTTCATCGGGAAGCCCTGAGAGGAGGAGACAGTGGGAGACAGTACCTGAACAGAAAACACCAGCTCTTCTGTCAGTGCCAAGATCAGTAGAACACCTGAGGAAAAAACACAAAAAGAAGGTGAGATACTGGGGAGGAAGGGGTTGATGTGGACAGCATGGCTTGTGTGTCTGGCAGGAAGGAATACCTTCCATGTTCTGCAGAAGGACAGAAGAGTTAGCATCCAGCTTTGTCTGGTTCTCTGTGAAAGTAGGAAGAGAAAGAAATCTGCAGGAGCTGTTGGTGACCCCATGGTCATGAGAGCGATGAGAAAGATTACAGGGAATTTCTGTTGCAAGAAAAGAGAGGACCTTGCAGTATTGACTCATGTGAAGCTTTAAAATGCCATAGGCAGATGATTTCCCTGTAGAAGCTAAAAAGCATCCTACATTTCAGGGGCAGAAACAACAGACGTCCTCATTTTCATCGTGGCCAGGAGGTGTCCAGATGAATGTCCATATCATTATAGGAAACCTTAGTCTGCTCACTCCTTTGGCCGCAAAATCCTAAATTTGGCTGCCTCCAGTTTTGGCTGCCATTAAGCAATCTGTTTTTTGAAAGAGTAGCTGCTTAGGCCTTGCTGAAAATTAGGTCAAGAAGGGATGTCTGATGAGAGGGCTACCTGGGTTATTATACATGCTGTGCTTTACTTAGTGACTTCGGAAAATCTAGTCACTCCAAATGTCAAAAATTAACAAGAAAACACAGCTATCCCACCCATTTCAAAAAACATTGTGATTATTGTGATCTAACACAACTGCCCTTCACACCCATAACCAAAGTTTGGTTGTAACATGTTCTCTGCTCACATGTGCTGTGGAGTCGAATTGTGTGCATTTTGCCTCCCACCTCCCTCAGTGCTGCATATAATTTCATGAGGTGCCAGATCCACACTGCTGGGAACATCAATTCTTTCATTTATTCCTAGTTCAGATAATGGAGGTGGGCAGCTGCAGTAGCATAAGCCTCCCTGGGATGCAGGGCTAATACGCCCTGAGTTAGTGTGACCTGCAGGGACCACATCAATCACATGTCACCATTTCCATATGTTGAAGCTGTCGAGTGTAATGTGGATCTCTGCCCACCAGGAAGCACATGGAATAAATCCATTTTGCACAGTCCACTGAGCATCATCAGATGGCACCATTAGCACTGTGCTAGGGTGGATTTCAACCAGCAGTGTCGAGGTGAAAAATGTTGTCATAGTCTTAACAAATCAGGGGGATGAGTTCGCCAAAACTGCAGGACTCCAAACTGGGTGATGATCAACTTCCAGCCAGGACTATGGAATGCCTTCCTGCCCCCTGCTCTACCCTTCCTAGTTGGCCAGCTTTCTCCATGAGCCTGGTTATGCCATTTAGTTCTACAGTCTTTGGGAGTGTCTGTTATGGGCCAAAGGAAGACAGGGACTTGGGAAAATGAAAGAAGATCTCTGATTAGGAGTCTGCTGGCCTTGATTCTGTTTCATGTTGAGCAAATGCAAAGGTGATGAAATGAGTTTATTCTGAATCCTAAATATCATTCACACCCATGCATGATCATTGCAACACATGCAGCAAAAACTCACCAAAGGAGCAGTATCTGTTCCTCTTACCCAGCTAAATGTTCTACTGCGATCACTACCCATCATTTCTGAACCAGAGAAGCACAGAGCTTTGCAATCAAAAAAATTCAGCTCATCTTGCCCCCAGCAGACTCCTGTTACTTGGAAGAGTATCCAGAAGATGAAAACACTGACTAAATAACATGGTGAGAGCCAATTACAAGTAGTACACTTTCCACTGCTTGATGCTAAAATTAGCTTTCTTTTTTTTTAACTTCTGGAATAAATATCTCTGCCAAATAAACCATCATCTGGGATACTGCTTCCCAGTTCCTAGCCAGCCACAGACAATATGCTCTTAGCAGAGCACCTATCCAAATTAAAACCCATTAATTCTCTACACTGAGATGCAACCAGGAGAGCAGATCGGGCTGTACTCATGGAGCATCACTCTTGGAAATAAAAGGCAGGAGTTATCCTCACATATTTGGCAGTGCTTATTCTGAGGTCAAGGTCAAAGCAGATATTCTAGTGTCCATATGGCTAATATTTCATGCCAAGACAAGTTGCTGCCACAGAACAAATTCAAAGAGGAAAGGATGACGATTTACTTTGGATTTGGTGTGTGGAGATAATGGTACAGGAAACTTTGAGCCTGCTGTTCTGAGCACACAAGATAAAGTACATTGGCAGATATTATGAGATACTAGATTATGATGATTGTAATGACGATTAAAATTTTTGGATGTTCTTTGTGTGTTCTTTCTTCTCTCACACCTCACACACACAAAACCCCCATCACCATTGGATCAATGTTTTTGTCCAGGATATTCCTGAAAGAATAAAGAACTTGTCAGCTCTTCTACATATCATGCCCTGAGGTTAGAAACCCTGATTTTTGCTGAAAACCCACCTAATACCCATCTCCACATCTTGAAATACTGATAAATCTGAGGCTTGCCCCTATAAACATTTATAGTCTCTCTGGGGCAGCAGAGAGTCTCTCTGTTGTTGTAGCAGGTCACCACACATCAGGCATGGGAAACCAGATGCATTTAGCTCGTACCTTTAGGTGGCTTGTAAAGTATGAATAAATATTTATAGGAAATAATACATCAGTAATTTATCTGACAATAAACAATAACTCCCATGACATTTGGCCATCCCAGGTTGTGGCAGTCAGGTTTTACTCATCTGCCACTCTTGCTTTAAAAGCCGCTGCAGAGCCACTGTGGCCCTAAAAGCTGTAACTTTTTAGGACATTTTTTTCTGCTGGTTGGATGGCCCACAGTAATTCCTTCAGTAACCACCAGAGCTAATGTGTACCCCTAACTACTGGAAAAATATTCAGCTTAGCAGATAATTGTAAAAATAGCCAGTGCTGTATATTTAGAGAGGAACAGCTGATGATAAGGACTTCACAGTGGGTTTTGTTGGCCCTGCTAAGTAGAATTAATTTGCTGGAAAGCAAAAGTAAAGCTGGAAATGGTATTTTTAGATGCTCTGCATCATCACCCAAGCATGCTCTGTCTGGATTTGCAGTGACTTGATTGCCTAGAGCTCCCACTTACTTTTCTATCATTAAGGACAGGCAAAGTCTTACAAAGTGGGGTTCTTACTGAATTCCCTGATACTGGACTGCCCTTATTGGCAACTTTGGCTTAAGCCTGAGAAAATTATATTCTAAATTTCTGTACTCAGGCACAGGAGGCATTTGTCCCAGAAAGGGACTTTCCCAGCACCTGTGACATTCTTTCCTTTTCGTCCCTCTGTCTGTGCTTCACAAATGCACCCATACTAAGTGGAGCACCCTGGTGGGTACAATGCCAGCTGTCCCCTGGTGCCTCAGCTTACCTTCAATTCTCCTACCAGTGAAAGGAAGCCTTCTGGCTGCTATCAAGTTCTCCTTGCCAAACTTTGATATTCCACGTGAGATAGCAAATGTTCAAAGTGCAGTTCTTCAGTCTTTGCATTCATTTTGGCTGCCTAAAGCTCTTGGAGCTGATTTTACTTAGAGTATGAGCCCTTTGGAGTAAGGACTGTAAGTCCTTATGATCTGCTGGCACAACAGTAATACAGACTGATGCAAGCACATTATAGCAAATAATAATATTTTCAAAGGTCAGCTCACGCCATTAACTTTTTTCATAAGGGGCTGTTTCTAAGGTACAGGAGCACAAGGTCAGAACAGACCAAACTGGTTTGTGTTTTAAATGCTATGTGTCAAATTCATGCTTTTGGAACCTTATTTTATGGCTACATTAAATCCATTCAACCCTAATAAGAAGGCTGATTGACCTGACATCTCTGTGGTGTGAACTGTGGTCTTGCCTCGTGCACAGTGCACCAGGAAGGGCATATTAGGTATAAAATGAATTAACTCAAGGATGAAATGCAGCAGAGTGACAGCAGAAGGTACACAGAGGGTGTGGATGTGCATTTAGCCATAAAAACTTCCTGACAACACGGTGCAATGGTTCAAATCTCCACAGGATCCTCTGCAGTGCTTCTCCCCACTGTACACTCACATGAGGAGCCTGGAAATGGTGTGTATAGTTGTGTATATGAAGGAAATGAAGGAATTCCTTTACAGCAATGTTTTAAAAGACTATGGTCTACGTCTTAAATGAGTCTCAGAAAAGTCTGGGGTTAGGAGTATTTCACTTCCTAGACTATGAAATCCTCAGGGTTCTACCACTTGGAAACTTCCTTGTGACGCTTTTATTTGCACACAAGTGACAGAACTGTGACCCTCCTTAACAGAAAAAATAAGCAATTCAGGCTTCAGCAGCTTGTGTTTGTTTTATCTCCGGGCTTTGGGGCGCTCCATGAGGAGCCAGTGGCCTGGCCCAGGACAGCATTAGAAGGTTTTTTCACTCAGGAGTTAACGCTGCCTGGTGCTGCACGGGACCCTTCATGGGCACTTTGAGAACAGCCTTTCTGCATGACATGGCAGAGCAGGCATGTGGCTGTCGAGTCAGCTCATGCGTTCAGCCTCCCTGGGGCACCCCCTTTAAACAGCACAAACTTATGTAACTCCTGTTCTAAAGCCTGTGGAAAGGCTCCCAATGACTTTAGCGAGCTTTGGATCGAGTCCTAATTGCCAGAGATACAGTGGAAACTTTTGAGCTGCACATTTACATTTTCTACAGCAAATGAAAATGCACAACGAGTTCAGTCTGGTGTTTGACCCCTTCTGGCCTCTGCAGCTACCTCGGACCTTGCAGCAAGACAAACAGCGCCTGCCTAAGCAGTACTTGGCAAACATTTTTGCTCTAGGAAGTCAGGAAGAGCTTTTTGTGCAGAGACCTACTGCTGGACTCATTATTTCAGACTGCCGTGGGCAAGGAAAGCAACGGGAGCTGTCCTACAAAGGAGCCATTATCTACAGACCAGGGCTTGGGTGCACATGGCCACAGTGAGGGAGGCTGAAGCTTCTCTGTGCTCCTGTCTTGACTAAGTAACAGCGAGAGAAGATTGTGCAAACCCTCTTCAAACAGCAACAACAACAACA